CTGCTCTGAGTCTTCAGTGTGTGTAATGATGTGGTGTTGCTGGGGTCCCCCTGCTGAACATCACACTACATTCACTTTAATTCTAATCAACAAACACCAACAAACCAGCTTTAATCAAGTTCAGTTGAGCTGCAGTAATCAGTCCATAACCTATTTAGTCTTTAACTGTTTGATAATCAATTAATCGGTGTGAAAACTGTCAACATAATCTGATTCCAGCTTCTTCATTTTGGGCGTTTTCTGGTTTCTTTCCTCCTCTATGACAGTAAACTGAATATGTTTGGGTTGTGGACAAAACAAGACATGTGATCTCCATCTGATGGTGTGTGATGATGCCAATAGAACATGTTCTGTTACCCATAATTAACAAATAAAACAAAACAAGCCTCATATATCTGCTAGTTTCAACATGGAAGCAGCTTGTAACTTTGCACATAAAATAACAGCATAGACCCCAATGGACACCAGTTTTTGTGGCGCTACCAGTGAGTCCACATCACCGTTTTGACATGTCAAAATTGAAAAAAAAAATGGAGCCTTGGTTTGTTATTCCTGCCACAGATCAAATTCTACTGATGTAAGAGGCCTTCAAAAGTCGGTGAGATGTTGACCAAAGATTTTATTTTTAGTGGAAATACGCATTCGTCCATATTTATGTTTCCACTCTTAGGGCCCAAATTCCACCAACATTAGAACATTTTGCACTTTCTTACATCCATGTAAAGATTTGAATGTGTTAGAAACAATTCTGTCTGTGTCCTCGCCAGATTTCATGGCTGTGGGAGTTTTATTTCTGGAGATATCGAAATCTTTAAAATGGCTTCACAAATGGTGAAAACACACACAAAAAAATCGTGATTGTCAACAAAACACAACATTCTCAATGTTTAGTCAAAATATTTTTCAGCACTTAATTTTTAATCTCAGATACAAAACATGTAAATGTTTCCCTTTGAAACGTCAATGACTGACTGTTTTTGCTTTACTTATATTTTCAGATATCCCAGAATCCCCTGTTATTCACATTCTCAGTCACACATACACATACACATACACAAGCTTTGTGAATATTCCCATCCAGAATCTCCCCTGTGTACTAAAAGTAAATTCTTTTTCAGGTGTATGCAGGAGTTTGTGGAGTCTCTTATAACTTAAAACCTAAACCACCTGATTTGCCTTTCAGCTCTTTAGTTCGTCAACAAAACTGCCCCGATGGTCAGTTTGACTGCGTTCTTTTAGTAATGACCTGCCAGTTATCTTATGTGTATTTCCAACTATAGAACAGGTGCACTGATACATTTTTAAGAGATTTGAAGTCATTGTGCTTGTGTTGAATTCAAGGTTGTGTAACATCCTGTTAGAGTTTGTGGTTCTCGAGGTCGACCTGCAGCTCAGGAGATA